CAATAAATTGCTGAATCTGATCTTTAGAAAGATTTCAAATCAGGTTGTCAAGTGGAGCTGCCTTTGTATCAGACTGAGTTGATAAATTCAATTGAGGATTCACAGATGAGGATGAAGGTTTCTGAAACGTCTCAAGAGTTTTACCTTTCGAATTATAACCCGGTGGAAAACCAAGTTTCTTGTAGCATCTCTCGGCTATGTGACCAACTTTGTTGCAGAAAGAACATATTGGCTTCCCTAGCACCAGACTGAACATAGCAAATAGTCGAGGTATTCTGAAGCAAGACAGGGGATTCAGATACCTAAAAAGCAGCAGGTGAGATAGCAGAAGTGAAACTCTTCTGGCTATCATCTTGATCCAAAATGTTACACACTTCCGCTAAAGAATGTAATGTTTTCTTAATGATGATTTGATGGCGAATGACTGCATATGATTCATTGAGTCCCGCCAAAAAATTCACAATCTTAGCTTGCTCAGCCTTTTGTTCAAGCCTAAGAGATTTACCACACGTACATGGATCATCTGCTTCTTCACAGTTCTCCAAACTACTCCACCACGTCTTCAACTTAGTGAAATAATCAGAGAGAGAAAGTGAACCTTGACGTATATCCGGGATCTCTTGTGTGAGGTTGTAAGTTCGGGGTTCCAAACATCTGTCACATCACTTAAACAGATAATACTTGATATACCATGGTTTCGACCCACTTTTAGCCATGGTATTGATATGTTTTTATAATATTTATATATGTTTTGGAGTCTATTAGGTATGTTTTCAGGTTCAAAAGCATTTTGGAGTAAAGTGATGATTTAGGTGCCCTTATGGAGCTTAAAGGAAAGTTTTCCGACATGACTATGAAGATCAGACAACAAGGATACATATCGATCGATACACATCCTGTGTAATCGATCGATGACGCTTCTATAGAAGATGAAGTCGAGATACTCCATCGATCGATGTACACCATTTACCATTAATCGATATCAAGCGTGGAGAACAAGTCTGACTTGGCCGACTTGAAGCCCAAGTTTTCCGAAATTACAAGATTCCCCCTGACAAGTTTTTAACCTAATGGAACTCATATTTATAGTTATGCCTATGTGTTTTAGAAAAGCATGCTTTTGTGTCTTTTATGCTTTATGCTTTTGAATTCTTTTGTGCTTTTGATACTATTTTATACTTAGCAATAAAGTATTCTTTTCATCTTAATTCTCAAAGGTTATAGAATTCTAGATTTAGAAGAAACACACAAAGAGATTTGTTGTCCAAAGAACCAAGAGTTCAATCTTCTAATCTTATGAATTTCTATTATTACCTTGCTGCTATGAATCACTTAGCCATGTCTGAGTAGATTCCTTTGTTAGATTTATGGTTCAAATAGTTATGAGGGATTAGCCCCAACTATGGAATGTTGAGTTGTGATATTCATTATCCCGATGAACCCTAATGCTTACTCTAGAGTAGCTAACTAGAGTATGATCATGGAGTGATTTAACTTGTTAATCATTATCCTGAAATCATTTGGCATAAGCTTAGATCATGTAGGGATGTGCGAGAGCCAGTCTATGATCTTGGTGAACAAATTTTCGATTCGATCTTATGTTATATCGATCGATACTCCTATAGAGTTATCGATCAACGGCAACCCATATCGTCCGATATTGCTGTCAAAACATCGGTCGATATTGCCGGCAGTAAGATCAATGGACAAGTCTATATAGCGACTGCTATTAGATCTGTCTAAGAATCAAAGTTCTTATATATCTTGCATATATCTTGCAAGCAACTTACTAAAACATCTGTAGCATTATAATCCTGATTATCTGAATAGCAACCTTGAATCTAACTACTTTCTTTTATTGTTTTAAACCAAAACCTATTCTTTTGAGCAATTTATCATTGCTCACAAATTGCAATTTACTGTTTTAAACTGAATCAACCTAGCATAATCATTTAGGATTACATCTTTTGTGTTCCTCAGTTCCCTGTGGATTCGATCCCTAAATACTACAACTGAACCTCTAATTTGAGAGAGTAATTCACTCCTTAGGGTTAAATATTTGAGTGATATCAATACTCCGATAGATCTGGGTAGATATCGAGTTAAGAATCCATGACTTAACAAGGCTGTTACATCTTGATCAAACGCAAAATGTTAAATCAGATTCAAGAGGACGAGGTAGTGATCCATCTACAAAACCGATTTTGTTCTTCGCATCTAGAGCTATTTTCATCGCAGCTTCCCAATCAGCAAAGTTCGATCCATCAAGTTTGATAGAGATGAATATCAGACCTGGATGATCGGAAGTATGCATAAAAACGGTGAGTGAATCAAATCCATGTGGTCCACACAGGTAAGCATACACAAAGCATGAAGATCCGGACCTGCAGTCACTGGAGTAGCAATCGGAGCTGTACGCTTCGCCAAACGAGTCGATCGACGAGAGATCTTCTTCACATAAACCATCTAAACTTGTAAATCAATGAATCACGAGCTCAAGCAAGATAGTCGAGCTCAATTTTAGCTCTAATACCATATTACGTACAAGCTTTCATGAGAGAAGAAGAAGTTTGTTATGGAAAAATCTATTATCACATTAATTGATCATTTACACGTATATATAAGAAGCTATACAATTGGGTAAGTTAACCAGCTAAGTAACTAAACCACTAAACATGAATATATCCCTTATATTATTTGAGGAGAACTTTTAATAAATAACCTTACACTCATTTGTGATTAATAAAATTATCATTACTTATTTGGCAGCCTCACAAACATTTTCAACCCATTTATAAAAATAGACATAAGTTACTAAAGTATTTACAATTCAATGTCATTGAACCTATATTTTCTTATAATATAGTTTTACACCATATTATCACTAATCCGTTTATATAATGTACCTTTAAATTATCATTAAAATATTAAGTATACTAGATCCATGAGATGTACCATAGTTTATAATATTATAACTCGCCCTACACACACACACACACACACATATATATATATATATATATATAGCTATATTTTGTAATTTTCCATAATGATTATTCATATACTAATGATTTGTTTCAACCATATTTTGACTAATTTTTCCTTGAAACAGCTCATATTTATTAATATTTTTGTTAATTTTAAAATAATACGTATATATTATTATTCGGATGAGCTCCCCTAAAACTTAAAATAATCCATTATATTTAATAATATTTATTTTGTAATATAATATGACCTACTATTATGTTACATGTTCCAAAACTGGGAGAATATAGAAAGAAACATGACGTCACCACACATATATATTATAATGATACATATGCATAGAAATAAAATTTGAATATTTGCTATTATGGATTTACAGCATATATAAATTTTTAATCCCTTAAATAAATTTTTAATTAATTAAAAACTTAAATTTAGGGAACAAATATAGCATCTCATACGCAAGAATCAATCTAAACTGATCTTGGAAATATATACCATTTAACTCCGAAATATCAAAAAGTTTATATTGACTAAAATGAAAATACACATCAAAACTTGACTAATATAAACTCATTATTGGCTTAATCACACATGCACATAATATGTAAATACTATCACCATCAATATATTTATCTAATTACCTATGAAAAAAATTGTTTTGAAGAGCTCAACCGTTATATAGGAATCAATAATACTCTTTTTATAATTATTTTTGTTTCCGGTCTCAAGCATTATATGATGCAAGTAAATAAATGAGGAATCAACTTTAAAATTTAAATAAATGGGGGATTTTTGTCTTTGAATATCGTCAGACAATAATATTAGTTTTCTAAATTAACTTGATTCATTTTTTATAATTTTATATTTGACCATAACTTATGCAATAAACTAAATTATTGGAAATAAATATGCGCAATTGACATATGCAATCCGTTTTCGGTTAATATAGGAACTAGATCATAACCCGCACACTCGCGTGGGTTTAAGTTTTCTGGATGTGTTCTATATAATTTAGTTTTATATAATTTTGATTTTGTCCAATTCAATTTTATGTTTAAAGAACAAAATTAAAACTGTCTTTTGTATTAATAGTGTCAAGCAGTGTACTATGTAGATGTAACCGTGCAGAGAAAACACTAATTTGTATGTTTGTTCGAAGTGAAAAATCAAATTCAAACCTAACTGTTGCGTTAAAAATAAAAGTTGAATATTAAGTTACTTTTTATGTTAATAATTATCCAAAGTTTTTAAAATAGTATACAAATTTTTAGAATTGTTGTTCTTGACTTTTATTTTATAGGTTGGGTCAAACCTAAACTTAACTTTGGTCTTAACTTAGCAAGCGCAAAATCTTTTATGATGAAAAAGTTCATAAATAACTTTAAAATGTTTTTGTAATTTTAAAGAATTTATGTATTAAAAATATTTTGCATTTTAATCAGTTTTTTTTAGATTCAACCTGAACCCGTGGTTAAACCGGTGATCCGATAATTCAATTTGATTTTTAAAAAATATCCTTATTGAGAAAATCACTACAATCCGAGATTAACCGATTGAACCGATGGATAACTGATATGTAACGTTTAAACATGTATAAGTTTGTTTACGTTTTTTAATATATTATTTGAATTTTTAATTTATCTAAATAACTGGAAACAAAATTGTGAGAAATTATTAAAAAGAGTGAGATTTAATATTTTGTATTGTTTGGACATAAGATTAATAATAGTGTTGTTTGGCATGAATAGTAGTGTAAAGAAATGAGTATATTTTTATTGTTTGGAAACATGGATAGTAGTAGAAGTAAATAAATATATTATTTAGAAACATGGATAGTATTATAAGAAATTAAATATTATAATTTAATATAAGTTTAATTATAAAGTAGAAAGATATATTTAATTTAAAAACTTACAAAATAAAAAACAAATATTGATCCACGGGTTTTAGATCTTGGCTTTGATACCATAACAAATTGATGAGAGTAATAACACAAATGTGCTTATGAAGAATTATATTAGACTCTCGTGAGAATGAAGTACAAGATCCATAGATTTATATAGTGAATGATTTAACCTAATTTCCTAAACTAATATGGAATAGTATATAAGACATAAATGTTAATTTCCTATTATTCTTGGTCTTTCCAGAGGCTTCCAGTTTCGTCTAGATCTTTCATTTATCTTCATATTTTCCATAATTTTGATATGGTTGATCTCACCAATCTCCCAATAAGAAATGTTAATACCTTGGGCACCTAGATTTTATTTTCCACAACTCAACACGATTTCAACCAGCTGAATGTTGCCGGTTAGTAAAGATGCCTTGCGAGATGACAAAAAGAAGAAGCCATCCACAAGTTTAACGGACTTTAGACCCCATTTCACCATCATGAACTCGATCAGATGATGCCCACTGCAATATAAAATTAAAATTGACATCTTAATCGTTTGCTGAAATGCTAGATTACTAGAATGAATGAATTGTGTACCTCCTGTTATGATATGTAGTGATAAAACTGCATCTGGAGAATTTTGAAGCAGAAACGAGACAGTGGCAAAGAGATCATCGAACGCTGTACAAACAAAAGTTCCAAATTCACCTTTCAGCTCATGGTAAGCATAAAGTAGGAGAAGTCACGACTCCGCGCAAGGGAAAAAGGAACAAAATGAACTAACCACTTGAATCATATAAAACATCAGCTCCAAGTATAATGTTAGGCCGCAGATCAAATATGGTATTACCCAAAAAAAATTGGGACTATAGTCGAGGCCCCTCAAGCTATTTGTAGGTTGTGTTCAATTTTTTTTATGAAAAGTAATATGGTAATGGTAAAAATTGTATAAGAAAAAGGTAATGGTAAAAGAATTTTGATTCCGAAATATAACCTATATAACACTTATGTTTTTGAATCGAGACAGTGTTCAACTGTTTCACTTTCGTACGGCCAGGGCCACCACGTAATAAAACATAAGATACATGGATGTAGATTTTTGTGAACTGCTGAAAATCTTAATAAAAGACCTTATCTCTTTCTTTGACATTTCTTCTCTCATAACGCGTTTTTAACGTTCAAACAAACAAAAAGGCGTGTTTACCTTGCTTTCGTATAACTCACATTAATTAAGCATTACCCTTTACCAACACTCTCAGATCGTCTCTCATCATGGCTTCTTCTTCTACTTCTCCTAACTACAGCTACAATGTCTTCGCGAGCTTCAACGGGGATGATGTCCGTAAAACACTTCTCAGTCACATACGCGAACAGTTCAACCGCAACGGGATCACTATGTTTGATGACCAAGAGATTGAGAGAAGCGCAACAATCGCCCCTTCACTCACCAAAGCTATAAAAGAATCGAGGATCTCGATTGTGATTCTCTCCAAGAACTATGCTTCTTCAGGCTGGTGCTTGGATGAATTGGTGGAGATAATGGAGTGTAAGAGAGCTATGGGACAGATAGTGATGACCATCTTCTATGGAGTGGAGCCATCCCATGTACGGAAACAGATTGGAGGCTTTGGGATCGCTTTCAATGAAACTTGTAAACGTAAGGAACCTTCGGACGAGCAAAGGCAGAAATGGATCAAAGCTTTGAACGATGTGGGCAATATTGAGGGAGAAGATTTCCTAAGATGGTTAGTTTTTAATTGATCTAAGTATTAATTATTATTTCTTATGTTACAAATAAAACCAGTCAATGGTGTTTATGATGAATAGATGAAATTACGGTTGATGCAGTTTAATTAAGGCAATAAGTTCTGTGTTGAGTTAATAATTTTTGGAACAGAGGAATGTTATCTCTATGACTATTTGACAGGGAATGCTTTTTATTTGTTTCTAATTTATCAGGGACAATGAAGCAAAAATGATCAAGAAAATTGCAAAAGATGTTCTTGACAAACTGAATGCTACACCATCTAAGGATTTTGATGGTATGGAGGGACTTGACGCTCATTTGACAGAAATGCAGTTATTGCTAGATTTAGATGGTGGTGATGGAGTTAAGATGGTCGCAATCTCTGGTCCGGCAGGAATTGGTAAAACGACCATTGCTAGAGCTTTACACAGCCTAATCCGTGATAGGTTTCAGCTTACTTGCTTTGTGGACAGCCGTAAGGGAAGCTACCCACCTGGTCTTGATGAGTATGGTCTGAAGTTACGATTACAAGAACAGCTTCTTTCGAATATTCTGAACCAAAATGGTATGACTATATGCCATCTGGGTGTTGTAAAAGAAAGGCTAGGTGACAAGAGAGTACTTATCATTCTTGATGATGTGGACAACATAAGACAGTTAGAGGCGTTGGCTAATGAAACTAAGTGGTTTGGTTCTGGAAGCAGGATTGTAGTTACCACAGAAAACAAAGAACTTCTACAGCAACATGGCATCAACAATACGTACCATGTGGGGTTTCCATCTGACGTAGAAGCTATCGATATCTTGCGTAAATATGCTTTTCGAAAACGTTATCAAAATGATGATTTTGAGAAGCTTGCTGAAAGGATAACGGATCTTTGTGGTAAGCTTCCACTGGCTCTACGTGTGGTGGGTTCATCTTTACGAGGGAAGAATGCAGAAGAGTGGGAAGAAGTAATGCATAGGCTAGAGACTGTTCTTGATCGAGAGATCGAGGGCGTCCTAAGAGTGGGCTATGAAAATTTAGATGAGAATGATCAATCTCTATTTCTCCACATTGCAGTCTTCTTCAACTATAAAGATGGTGATCTTGTGAAAGCCATATCCGCTGATGGTGATCATTTGGAAGTCAAACGTGGGCTGAAGATCCTAGCCAATAGATCTCTCATAGATCTATCTACAAGTGGGGAGAAAATAGTGATGCACAAATTACTACAACAAATGGCTAGACAAGTCATTCGTAAACAAGAGCCTTCGAAACGACAAGTACTAGTGGACGCTCATGAGATTTGTGATATCCTCGAAGATGAAACAGTAAGTTATATTTCTTTCTTTTATATACTACTGTATTTGAGTATTTTCTCTGTTTCAAATTTCAATATGTATATTTTTGATTTTGCACATATATTAATATAACATTTTCTGTTAGTCTAAACCAATAAAATTCTAATAAGTGCAATTAAGTTTTTTGAAGTTTACAATTAATCATCTATACATTAAAAATATTTTTTTTTTAAACAATTTTTTTCTAAGACATGTAATTTTATGAAACGAATGGAGTATGTTCTGTTTTGTTGATTATACGTATTTTAAACAAGTCCTGTTGGTTAAGAATAGATACATAAAGTCATACATATGGGTGTTAAAAAAAAATTATTTTTTATTTTGGAATTTTGTTTAGGGTACTGGAGTTGTGTCCGGCATATCATTTGATATATCAGGAATCGAGGAAGTTTCCATAGGCAAGAAAGCTTTTAAAAAAATGCCTAATCTTCGATTCCTAAGGGTTTACAAAAGCAGAGCTGATGGGAATAATAGAATGTATATACCTGAAAAGATGGAGCTTCCTCGTCGTCTAAGATTACTACATTGGGAGGCATACCCAAACAAGTGTCTTCCTCCTACATTTCGTCCGGGATATCTTGTAGAGCTTGATATGACCTGTAGCCAACTCGAGTACCTCTGGCAGGGAGCTCAGGTTGGTTGGTGTTGTACTTAAAACTATATGAATATATTTACTTTCTGTCATGTTTATATGATGTTGTTTCTCTCTGTCATTGTGTTTTTTTTTTTACATTTCAGCTGCTTACAAATCTTAAGAAGGTAGATCTGTCAGCGTCTTATAATTTGAAGGAGCTTCCTGATTTTTCAAATGCTACAAATTTGGAGAAATTAGATCTGAGAGGTTGCATGAGATTGGTAGAGATCCCGTCCTCCTTTTCGCATCTTCATAAACTAAAGAAGTTGAAGATGGGTGGCTGTATAAACCTAGAAGTCATTCCAGCTGACATGAACTTGGCATCTCTTGATTCAGTCAATATGCAAGGATGCTCAAAACTGAGAAAATTTCCAGACATGTCAACGAACATAAGAAAATTGGATATATCAAAAACAGCGGTTGAAGATGTACCTGCCTCAATTGCGATGTGGTCACGTCTCGAGTCTCTCTCTATGTGGAACAATGGAAATCTCAAGGGGATAACACATCTTCCCCTGAATGTACTGTGGGTGAACGTAAGCTATTCCGCAATCGAGAAGATACCAGACTGCATGAAAGCTCTTCATCAGCTACAAGAACTTAATCTCTCTGGCTGCAGAAGACTCGCATCATTGCCAGAGCTCCCCGGTTCACTCAACAACCTACGTGCTGACGATTGTGAATCACTGGAGACAGTGTTTTTCCATATGAAACACACTCCAGATGCGGAACTTAGTTTCATCAACAACTTCAAACTGAGCCAACAAGCGCGGCGAGAAATTATCGTAGGATCGTTGTTCCGTGGAAGCGCTCTCTTGCCAGGAAGTGAAGTACCTGCAGAGTTCCATCACCACCGAGCCAGAGGAAACTCGTTGACCATTCCTCATTCTTCTGCTTTCTCCACGTTTAAGGTTTGCCTTGTGATTTCACCGAACCCTAAGAAAGACAGAGACTATATGACTTCACAGCTACTCTGTTGCCGCATCTTCGGCAAAGACGACTTGTACCCCACTGACAGGGAATTCTACATAGGCGATGATGTCTCGAAATATCGAGCGGAGCATCTATTTATATTTCACTCTCACTTACTCGACAAATACATCAACCCAGCTAAAGTGAGGACAGAGATAACGTTCGAATTCAGCAGCCCGTCCAGCGTTTTCGACGTTACAGAGTGTGGTGCCAAGTTCTGTACCCAAAAAACCATCGGAGGGAGCTATGAATCTGGATCAAAGCATCTACATACTGTTGATGTAGATGAGGTCACAGTAAAAGTGCAGAAATAAACAAGACACAAGTTTTCTCTTTTCGAATTCACTAGAACAAGAAAGTCTTACGACAATCTTTTATATTACAAGAATCCTTTAGAATTAGACCAATCATAAGCTAAAACTCACCCTAGGGTCTAGAATTTTGTTTATCAGGATCCTCTAAACCCCGAGTTAAACTCCCCCTGAGTCTAGGTTTCAATCTTTCATAATTCCGGAAGTACGTCAACAACTACGTCAGCAACTAACGCAGAACAGCAACGCCAAAAGCTTGATCACACAAGCACAAAGGATCTCTCGAATTTTCTTTTTCCCAGAGACACCTTTCTCCATAGAGGCACGTCCTCCTTGTATAGATATCTAGAACTTGCTCTTCAAGTTCTTCCAAAATCAACTTAAGCAACTTTCGTTTTTTCTCTTAAGAAATAACTCTCTTGCCTTTTCCTCTTCAAGTAATAATGTAATATCATTTACACTTAATGTAAATATTCCAATAAATATATTATCTCTTCTCCAAGCTTAACAAGCCCACGGACATCACAAAACACGAACTCCAACTAAGCCCATCTTCATGACACACACATGTACTACCTCCTGTAGTACTTCACGAACTGACACCGAATATACATCTTCAATCTCCCCCTTTTTGACTATGCATGTGAACTCATCACCCCTAGATAGAAAACCACGTCTTCAATCTCCCCCTATGAGTCACATCATGGTCAAAAACTAATAAGAAGATGAATATCCTCCAAAGTGAGGATACCATCCCATACCACCATCTCTATAATGATCAAATCTCCTAGACCACGTGTTCCTGAATCCAAATCCTCCATGAATAGCTCCATGAACAGACATATAACAATCACGTCGAATATGCCCTTGAACTCCACAATAATAACATATAGGACCATGACACCTCATGCCATAACCTTGCTTCATCCGGTTTTTCTCCCTTAATAACTTAAAACACCTTGGCCTAATGTGCCCAACAACACCACAATGATGACAAACAGGCCAAAACTTTTGTTCATATACCTTCTTAGGACCAGAAACATTACCCGAAGTAGTTGATGTAGCAGTACGCGTAGCAGTACTCGTAGCAGTCGCCTTCTTCACATAAGTTGCAGCCTTCACTTTAGTCTTCCCATTTGTTACATTCCTAGCACACACCTTAACCTCTGGCTTTGTAGCAGACGTAGCTACACCATCAGTTTTTCTTGCTGATACAGAAACACCATCAGCTTTAAAAGATTCACCTTTGAATCCAAGACCACATCGATCAATTTGCCCAATGCTGAGATGATGATCCAACTGATCCGTCCCATTATTCAGCATCTTCAAACCCTTATGAGTCTCTGAAAGTTGAACACCAGCCTGTCGTGCTTCTTATTCTTTCTTTGAGGCGTACTTAAGTGCTTCAGCCACTTGTTCTTCTAGCTTGACTTTCTCTTTAGTCAACTCTGAATTCGCCTCAACCATCTTGAGCCAATGCTCATACAGCTTTTCATAATTTCCAGCAAGATCAAAGTCTCCATCATCATCATCACTTTCAGCATCATCATCCTCTCTACTTAAGGACCTTGACACAGACGATGTCGCAGATGCCGTCGCAGATTTTGTTTTAGAACCAGACACAAAAGTTGCAAAGGCCACCAAGTTCTTCAACTCCTCACCATCATCTGAATCAGTATCAGATTCATCCTTGACGTCATCCTTCTTCTTTACCTTCAGTAAATTTGCACATTGTTTGTGAACATGCCCAAAACCTTTGCACTCATGGCATTGTATCTTCGATGAACCTCCTGAGTCATCTCTTCTACTCTTCATCTTGCCTTGATTTTTCTTCAGGTAGTTAGCAAACTGCCTCGTAATCATCGCGATAGGAATTTCAGAAGATAAACCCTCTTGATATGCCGCCAGAAAAAACTCGGTCCTTCTTCCTGAACCAATTTATGTCCTCACCCTTCAAGATCTCACCAGTAACTTAGGTGACCCGCTCTGATACCAATTGTTGATGTAGATGAGGTCAGAGTAAAAGTGCAGAAATAAACAAGACACAAGTTTTCTCTTTTCGAATTCACTAGAACAAGAAAGTCTTACACCAATCTTTTTTATTACAAGAATCCTTTAGGATTAGACCAATCCTAAGCTAAAACTCACCCAAGAGTCTAGACTTTTGTTTATCAAGATCCTTCAACCCCGAGTTAAACTCCCCCTGAGTCTAGGTTTCAATCTTTCAGAACTCTGGAAGTACGTCAACAACTACGTCAGCAACTAACGCAGAACAGCAACGTCAAAAGCTTGATCACACAAGCACAAAGGATCTCTCGACTTTTCTTTTTCCCAGAGACACCTTTCTCCATAGAGGCACGTCCTCCTTGTATAGATAACTAGAACTTGCTCCTCAAGTTATTCCAAAAGCAACTTAAACAACTTTCGTTTTTCTCTTAAGGAATAACTCTCTTGCCTTTTCCTCTTCAAGTAATATCATTTACACTTAATGTAAATATTCCAATAAATATATTATCTCTTCTCCAAGCTTAACAAGCCTACATACATCACAAAACACGAACTCCAACTAAGCCCATCTTCATGACACGCACATGTAGTACTTCACGAACTGACACAGAATATACATCTTCAATCTCCCCCTTTTTGACTATGCATGTGAACTCATCACCCCTGGATAGAAAACCACGTCTTCACATACTCCATAAATAACTTCTAAACTTTAAATTTTGCAGTTTTTGAAATTTATATACAAGTCAAAGCCGTAGTTTATATACAAGTCAAAGCTACCATCACTCTATTTTATTGCAATACATTTTTAAAAAAAGTTGTATATTTCTAGAGTTTTCTATTTTTTTGGGGGAAACAATTGAGGGAAATTTACCAAAATTATGAGCAGGAGTGATGATATCGGACCGGTACTTTTGGGCTTTTACTACTATCGGATTTTTGGATTTTTATCGCTTTTATCGTTATTGGACTTTTATCGTTTATGTTGTTTCCTATTTCAAACTTTCGGATCTGTATTGTCTTATATATTTTGGATTTTATATTATACTAGGATAAGACATGCGCCTTGCGCAAGGCGCAAGGTGAATATATGTTTCACATTGAACTGATTCTCAACTTGAGTCACAAACGCTGGAAACACTTTAGTAACTTCAGCCTTTGTGCTTAGTAAATAAATCCAAGTAGCACGTGAGTAATCATCCACTATGGTTAAAAATATCTATAACTATCTACTGTTTCAATCGAAAATGCTCCCCAAACATATATATGTAAAAACTCAGTTTGAAATACACATGTTGTTTGGAGAAAGAAAAAAAAAATTTCTTTTCTTGGCCAAATGACAAATATGGCAATAAAAATCCCTTTATTCTTGTGTCTTGTAATTTCCAACAGTTCAGATTTCAGATCAAGTCTTTAGAAAGAAGCATGATCTAGTCTGTTGTGTCAAGTACCAATTAATATCCACTACTGCATTGATCATCACAGAATCCTCACTGACATCCAGCACATACAGATTACCAACTATTCTATCTTGACCAATCATCAAGTGTTTAGAGCGATCATGTATTTCACAAGAATATGGATCAAACACAACCCTGGAGTCAAGTCAACGAGCTTATATTGATGAGGTTTAAACAAAACTCTGGCATAAACAAAACATTTAGAAGAAGATTAGGTTTGTTTAATTGAATATTGCCCACTCCACTGATTTTGAACAAAATACCATTAGGCAAATTCATAAAGCTATTGATGTTATCCAGAGATAGATAAGAATGATGCTTTATATGTACAACATGATATGTAGCACCGGAATCAAGGACAGAATGGATTTGAACCCTCGATAGTTATTTTTTATGAACTATACCGGTTTTCAAGACCGGAGCCATCAACCACTCGGCCATCTCTCCGAATAAATAAATAACTAGAAATGTTATTAAATTTGATAATTAGAAAGAGTAATTATGTCAGAAATAGGACAAATTTTTTTTATACTAATAGGAAAAAGAAGGTGAATTGTTTATTTTTTTGCAAGTTTCCCAAAAATTAATTGGGATAATTTAAGAGACAAATGATTTGCAAATCTACTGTTTTTAGCAAGTACTTTAAACTTGAAGGTTTAAATAATTTCTGTTATTTAATAAGGTTTTACATTAATTTGGACGTTATTTAATAACTGGAAATGTTTAATTAATAGTAGTTTTTATTAAGAGTATTAAATAATGTCCAAATTAGTTTGGGAAAACAGTAGATTTGCTAATCATTTGGACGTTATTTAATAACTGGAAAAATCTCATTAAAAATTCTTAAGTGGTAATTATATGGATGTTCTAAAATCAAGCTTGGGATATGATTGTGTAATATACGGTTAAACCCATTGACCGTAGTGGTGGTTTAGCTTTAATGTGGAAAGGTTGTTATGCGGTTTACATTATTTATAGTGACAATAGAATGAGTGATCTTAAAGTGACAATGGGTTCCATGGTTGTTTTTCTTACCTGTGTATATGGGGATCCAGTAAGGGGACGAAGACGTTTCGTTTGGGATAAATTAATGGACATTGGTGTGGTCAGAGATGAGCCATGGACTTTGGTTGGTGATTTTAATGAATTAATGCATAATGGAGAAAAATTAGGAGGAGCTATTAGAGATGAATCAACGTTTTATGATTTCCGGAACATGGTGGAGGCTTGTAAAATTAGGGAAATGAGGACCACGGGCAATACTCTTTCATGGGCCAGCATGCAGGATCATAACTGGGTACAATGCCGCCTTGATAGGAGTTTTGGGAATGATAATTGGTTTCGTCTTTTTCCACAATCGTCTACTCATTATATGAGTATGTGGCCTTCGGATCATCGACCGCTACGTATTGAGTTCGCCTTTGAGCCTCAGAATTTGCAAAGGGGTCGGTTTTATTTTGATAAACGTATGTATGATAAGAGAGGGGTAGCCGAAGCCATCGTTCGCGGTTGGGATGTAGAGAACATTAACTCTAATTTAAGTGTTTTGGATCGTATTGCTCACTGTAGGTCGGAACTTTCCAAGCTTAAGAAGACTAATGATTGGAATTCGAAAACAAAAATAGAACGGTTGCAGATTGAACTGGACAAAGAAAGCTCGAAGCAATTTACCATTAATGGTGTACTCAGAAGGTTACGGCATGATCTAGCTGAGGCTTATAGGGAGGAAGAGATTTTTTGGAGACAAAAAAGTAGAAAGGAATGGTTACGGGAAGGGGACAGAAATACCACATACTTCCATAACGTGGTTAAAGGGAAGAAAATGAGAAACAAAATCCTAATGCTCAAAGATATTTTTGAAAACGAATTTTATTCGTAAGGGTCTAAAGGTCATATTGCTACTGAATATTTTAGAGAATTGTTTACCAGCTCAAATCCAACAGATTTGGAAACTATGTTTGAGGGTTTTGAAAGCAGGATCACCTCAGGGATGAACACTATGCTAATCAGGGAGATTTCTCCTGATGAAATCAAGAACGCAGCCTTTGGTATTAAAAGTAGCAGTGCTCCTGGAGAAGATGGACTTACTGGTTTTTTCTACCAAAAATATTGGCATATTGTTGGACAGAAAATTATCGAGGATGTTCAAAGTTTCTTTAAAACAGCCATCCTCCCCGCTGGTTGGAACCATACTCAACTATCTTTGTTACCAAAGATATTACATCCAACGGAGATGAAGGATATGCGACCTATCAGCCTTTGCAGTGTACAATATAAAATGATCTCTCGTATTCTATGTGATCGCCTGAAGGTGGTCTTGCCCAGTATAATCTCAGAGACTCAAGGGGCTGTTGGAGGCGGGTTAATTACGGACAATGTCATCATAGCTCATGAACTGGTGCATGGGTTACGAACAAATGATAAAATAGGTAAAGAGAGTATGGCTATAAAGACATATATGTCTAAAGCCTATGATCGGGTAGAATGGAATTTCCTTGAAGTGTTATTGGAAAAAATAGGATTTTATCGGAAATGGATTGCTTGGTTAATGGCATGTGTTACTACTGTCACTTTCTCAGTACTACTTAATGGACGGTCACATGGGTTTATTAGACCGAAAAGAGGAATACGTCAGGGTGATCCTTTTTCCCCTTTTCTGTTCATTTTATGTGCTGAAGCTTTGGTTCATGTTTTAAATAGAGTTGCGGCACAAGGGAAAGTCCATGGTATAAAATTAGCTACCAGCAGTGCTTCTGTGCACCATCTACTATTTGCTGATGATAGTTTGTTGCTATGTGAAGCCTCTGTCAGGGATAGTGAAGAAATTTTAAAAGGCCTGAAAATTTATGGGGATGCGTCCGGACAAATGATTAACCCTTTGAAATCATCCAACATTTTTGGGAATAATATTCAAGAGGAAACCAAACATGCTATAAAACAGATTCTTGGTATTGAAAAGGAGGGTGGAGAAGGTTCATATCTTGGTCTCCCTGAGTGTTTCCAAGGTTCAAAAAAAGATCTCTTAAATTTTATCAAAGAAAAATTAGAGGGACGGTTACAAGGGTGGTATTCTAAAACTTTATCCATGGGGGCCAAGGAAGTTCTAATAAAATCAGTTGCTTTAGCACTCCCAATATATGCAATGTCTGTTTTTCGTTTACCAAAAAGTCTTTGTGAACGACTTACGAGTGCGATAATAGAGTTTTGGTGGAGTAGTGGGGATAAAAAGAAACAAATCCCGTGGGTTTCTTGGGAAAAGTTATGTAAACCTAAGGAAAAAGGGGGTATGGGATTTCATGACATTGGGCGTTTTAATCAGGCTTTACTCGGGAAACAAGCTTGGCGAATCTGGGCCAATCCGGATTCTCTGGTGGCTTGAATTCTTAAAGGTAAATATTTTTAAAATGGTCATTTTTTGGAATGTGGAATGGGAACACGTCCGTCGTACGCATGGATGAGTATCATGCATGGTAGAGAACTATTAAAAAGGGTTTGTATCGACATATTGGCAATGGTGCTGATACTAATGTTTGGGCGGAGAACTGGATAATTGACACCATCCCTCGGCCTCCAATGTATCGTGAGAATAACTCGATAAATTTAGCGTTGAAAGTTTTGGATTTGTTCATCCAGAGGTCGAATCATTGGGATATTAATTTATTATATCAGACTTTTATGCCACATGATGTGCAGAGGACATTACTCTTCAAACCATCATTGCAATTGGCTGATTCGATAAAGTGGGGTTACACATCAAATGGTACATATTCGACTCGTAGTGGGTATAAGTTATTGGAGGATTTGGTTGATTTTGAGCAACCCCACAGACACTCTTTCACTCCAATTGAAAAACAATTGTGGAAAAACCTGTGGAAGATCAAAGTCCCACCTAAAATAAAACATTTCATGTGGCGTGTCCTTTCTGGTGCGTTAGCAGTCAAACAACGGCTGACTACTCGAGGCATTCCGGTCGACCCAACTTGTCCTGTGTGTGGTAATGCTGCGGAGACTATTTGTCATGTTCTTTTTACATGTGATAAAGCACGGAACATATGGGATCACTCTAATTTTCCAACACCCACAGGAGGTTTTTCTCGGAACTCTACCTTTTTAAATTTCATGCATTTAATCAAGACTGCTAAGAGCCCCTCTATGGATATACATACAAGAAATGTCTTTCCATGGTTGCTATGGGAAATTTGGAAAGCTCGGAATGCCTTGGTCTTTGAAAACAGGGTTCTAGAATCAGCGTTTATTGCTAAGCGTGCCTATGAAGAAGAATCTACATGGTTTGATACATTCACAGGTACGAATGATGGAGTGTCTGAGGGTGTTGAAACAGAAATGGTTCGCTGGAAAAAACCACCACATGGTTTCATTAAATGTAATGTTGGTTCTTCCTGGGTAAACTCAAACCAGCTTTATGGTGCTTCATGGATTCTACGAGATGAAAAAGGGTGTACAATAATGCATAGCCGTCGCACATATTCATGTATGCGCACAAAGGCAGAAGACGATGTGTGGGCTCTTTTTTGGGCGGTCGAATGTCTGCACAATTTACGTTTCTCCAATATTATTTTTGAAACAGTCTCGGAATGCCTGCATGATGTACTCACAAAGCCCGATGATCACCCTGGTTTCAGCCATATTCGCCACAACATATCTTTTCTCCTGGAAAATAAAGAGTCATTGTGTCTTGAGCATGTTCTTCCGACCCGCAATGAA